CGATAACACCCGGCGATGCGTCCGCCCGGCCGCTGTCGGGATACAAGAACCGACAGCGTTCCTGTCGCCTGTCGCGGCTCTCAGGCTTTGTTCTACCGGCCTGCAAACCCCTTGGGACCAGAGCCCTGGGAGGGCAAAGCCGTGCCGTCAAGCAGCTGAGGAGATAAAACGCCACCCCATGAAGGCAGGAGCAAAGTTAGGTGTGATTAGCCCTGCCGTAAAAGCCCGATGATGGGAATAAACCTTATTAAAGAAAAAAACGGTGGGTTTTTTTTTCCTATTTATAATACGGATACACTTTTTATTTTAATCGAGCCATTATAATGCAGGTATGTAGGAGGTTAAAAGCTACAGCGGAGGGGTCTGAAGATAACGATGCAGCTACGTTTGCTGCTCACTCAGGTAGCAGAAATAGGAGCTAAGTTTTCCGTGAAGGGAGGTACAACAGGTGGGTGGAACACCAAACACTGGAAATGTCGAGAAACTAGCAGTAAGAAAAAAAAAAATCCCATGCGAAACCTACTAGTTTTCACGGATCTCAGTTGCTACTAACCGAGGCTGAACTTTATTTCCCTGGGCAGGAATCTGTTACGCTCCCAACCTGGGGCTCTCGCACAAATCTGAATGTATTCCCACTCGGTGCCACCACAGCAGACAGCCTCGATGGCATCTGACCGGATTCAAGGAGCAAGCAGGGATAAAGCTGCTTTTGAGGGGTCTCACTGCTGACACCACTATTGCTGGTTTCCAGTGTGGTTGGTCAGGTTTCTTTCAGGATCAGCTGAAGAACAGTAAGTCATCCACACCTTTTGCATGTCCCCCTGCTCAGTTTTCAAGCCGAAACAGCTGCTCAAGTAACCCTTCTGGCTGAGGTCTTAAAGGGATTTGAGATAAAGTAAATGCTGTAGGGAGACCCTTTATACAGACTGCCCTTATATAGAAGAATAGGGAAGGAAAAGCAAAGGCGCACTTACAGGACTGACATGGTTTTGCTTGCTTAATAACAGCTCAGTATCTTCTTTCCATACAAATGCTTCTCTATTCAAAGAAGTTATTACCTGGCTCGATATCACACTTGCTTCTCTCAGTGCTTGCTGGTTCGCTGTTTGCGAAGATGCGATTTGCCCTTGAAGTTGAGGACTGGGGACGAGCTGCTGCTGAGAAATGGCCCCTGACCTCTGCTGTAGCTGTTGTGGCTCCGGCTGCTGAGTATTGCTAAAGCTCAGGGACACCGTCGGCTGCTGTAGGAACATCTGGAAAAGAAGGCGGGAGGGTTTATTTACATAGCCCAGTTGTCTTGGATAATCAAGGTGACAGAATTAAATCCAAAGAGATACTCTAAAATAAAGTTATCACGTTTCTGGATTCACTATGCATTTATTATTAGTTGGAAATCACCTGTCTTTCCTACATTAACAGTTCTGCTGTCTCTAGTTTCTGGATTTCTTGTTCTGCAAGTGCACTCACTTGCAAAATGTGTCCTGAAGGTACAAGTCCTCTCTCCGTGGGGCAGGCACAGCTCTCGTAAGAGCAGTTCCCTGTACATTCACCATGTTCTGGGGCATCCTGACCGGAGAGAAGAGAGTAACTCCATGTCTTTTCAGTTCTTTCATTTCTTCTTTCAACAAAATCAGCCTGCCTTTCAGACAGGGCTGCTTTCGAATTTATCTCTGGAAATTCAACACCTTACATCCAGCTGACTTGTCGAATGTTTTTAATGAGGCCACAGTCAGGCCAGAGCTCTCTGTGTTGAATGGCCGTGTCCTTATCATTGAGAAGACACGTAAACAGACAGTCACTGTCATTTATCTGATTTCCCATCAGGTAACTGTCACCCGGTGTTCTCCCTAACTGTGCCATGCATTTGACTTGTGCAAAAGAGCTAGCAGCTCCTCTGTTAGTGTTTCTGTAAATGATCTACTCTCCATTCTGGCATTGCAAGATGAGCGTTTCTTCTTTAAAAGTTGTAGGGCTTGGGAATTTTTGCTTTTCTTTTCTATTTCTTTTCCTATAGCTAAACAGAGAAAAAAGGCATCTTTTAAAACTATGAATTATTAATGCTACAAGCTATCTTTGCAATATTTTGAACCTAGCCTCTTGCCACCAAGGACTTCATGGAAGTACGCATCCCACATAGTTGAAGGCATTTTTGGATCTGATTCTGATTCCACACCACTGCTACACGTGTGGAACTCCATTAATTTAAGTGGAGCTACTTTAGGGTTTAAATGAAATCAGAATCACAATTATTCTCTTCATTATTCATCCATCAGTCTCATGCCTAGCAGTACATCTGAGGTACGCCCAGTAATTAGTACACCTTTCTGCAGCTTATTGCTATATTAACAATTCCCTAAACGATCATGTCCCCTCTAATTTTTCTTGGAAAAAACCCATGCCTTTCTCCAAAGGACCGGCACAATGCATTGCTTTTCTTTGCATAAGTTTGGGTTGATCCATCATGTTTGTACTTATTTTTAAAACACAGTTTTTATTTAAATATGATAAATTTTTAATGAATTTCTCTGTGCCAAGATTCTACTCAGAAAAAAGGTACAGACAAAACTTACATTAATCAGCCGGGAGAGAGGGGCAATTAAGGAAAATGTTAATGGACCTAAAGCAACGGCTTGTTTCAGGTGCTGTAGGCTAACCGCGTCTCAGAGATGTCTGATAGAAATAAAATGGGTCAAGTGACAGAGCCGGGGCTGCTTCTAGCAGGTTTGAAACTAGCTCCGAGTGTTTTCTTTTAAAAACACTGCTCACTGAGTTTGGAGCCATTACATATCAGAAAGACAGATGGTCTCACAACTTCTGCCAAGTAAATAGGTCTTACTATGAATAAATCAAAGACAGAAATTATGAAAATTCATTTTCTTGTTTATTTTCTGTATATAGAAGCTAAGCTTTGGACATGTTTAGTAAATGAACTCACTCAATTAGCTCTAGCAATGAAACTGGTCACCATTGATGTAAAATTTGATATTAAAACTTTGATACAAAATTCAGAACAGGAAAAACAAGTGGCATGTTTCGAAAATGTGGTGGGGAGCATGAGCCCACTGGTACTGGCCAGATCACTGCAAATTAAGACCTTTAGGAGGATTATCTTAAGCGTCCTCCTTGTACGTGGCACACAGCGCTGGAGAAATACCAAGTTCGTCCAATGCAATGTCTATCTATTGATGCGAACATCAGGCAGGGCGTGAACTTGCAGCGAACGACTTTCATTGCAGGGACCTGCCAGGTGAAGGCGGAGGAGCTTATCCTTGAAAGAAAGCAGGGTAACCTACTTTGCAATTACTAGAGTGAGCCACTGGGTAGGAACGTGCACGGTTAATGGTTCGCAGCTAACACACTATAAATTTACGACCAAGTTTATCCCAATAAACCAATTTCGTTTGTTCGTGTGTTTGTACCCTGAGAGGGCTCTGAATGTTTCATACCTAGGGACCCTCTGTTGCATTATAATGGCCAAAGCAGCATTATTACCATCTGAACATAAATGTCCTGGAAAAAGCAAGCTCAGGGCAGGGAGCGATGGTGCCATTTAACCCATCTCTGCAGAACTGGAAGACTCAAGATGCCTCATCAAAACAAGAGTTAACCTGAGAGAGGATCAAAGTGTGGAATTTCTACCTGCTAGTTAAGCCTAAAAGCAAGAACATGCTTCACTTGTACAAAACTTAATGGTGTTTTTTCATAATGTGCCTCTTTTGTGACAGGCCTGTCTGAATTCCCCTGAAACACTGAAATACGAGAGGTTTAAATAACAACAGAAACCCCCTAATAAAGAATGAAATCTTTGCCAGTCTGAGCAAATCCAAGTAGATAAATTAGCAGCCCCCTAACTGCATTGCTGCTAATGACATGTCTCGTGGCTGATTTTGCAGACTGCAAGATCGGTGAAGCATGTTACAAATATTTTTTAATTGGCCAGCTTGTTAACATAGGCAGCAAAGCAGTGAGGGAGAGGAGGGACCCTCTGACACTGCTGTCCCCTCATTCCAAGATAGATGACCCCTACAGCTAATGGATGAATCACATTGGGAAGACATCGTGAGGAAAACGGCTCTTTGACTCTACCTGTCCTTCAGATAATCAGAGGATTATAGCCTTTGGGCTCATCATTATAGACATCAAGACTCTTTCTTCATGTAAAATATGTAAAGATGAGGAGCACAGCACTGAGAAGCTGAGATTCACTGACTTCGAAGGGAGCCTGGTTTGCAAATGATGGGTGGCTGTAGATGGTCTCGTTTGTAGTTCTTGCAGGGTGGTCAGGCTCAGCCCTTCTGCCTTCTTCCCCATCTGCAATTCATTAGCTAGACTGTTCAAATCTGGAGCAGACACAGCATCCTTCAGACTTCTGAGGTTACTTTTGCTGCTCTTGTCCTTCATACTTTCGCTTGTCAGGAAAAGCAGTAACAGGGATTTAATGGGGTTTTGAACACTTTTGTTCAGGGCCCACAACCCTCCTGCTAGTTTCATCTTTCATCACGCAAGGCTCTTGGAAATAGTTTCTAATGCAGACTACCATGCTCAATGTCTGTCTGGTTGGGAAAGCGTTTCTTGGTGGACTGCCGTACTGCAGTTTTGAAGATCTCTGAAGGAAATGGAAATCGGGCTTAATTCTCCACAGAACTACCTGTACACTTCTGTGTGGAAGGGAGTGAACCAGTGGGGAAGATATGCTAATAAATCAGCTAATGAGGGAAAACCAGAGAACACTTCCCCCTTGTCAGACAGCCTACGGCACTCCCCCATGCTTACAGCTCTTCTGTGCGGAATATTAAAGAGACCAGAAATGTGCTTGATAGTAATGCTCGCCTGTTTGCTACTATGCTTTGTAGCTCTGATAATAGACGCAGATCAATGTCTGCAGACATCCAGCTCCCTGAATGATGAAATCTGTGCGGCAAAATACATGGTTGGCTTTCTGATGTAACAGTTTACTCCTCGCCGCTTGTGAGTCACAGAACTGCTGCATGCAAAAGTGTGAGGCTTTCTTTTAAGTTGCCCCTAGCCAAATAAGACAAAGCTAATTCCTGGTCTCACTCTAACCCTGCAACAGCACAGTAATCTCTTTGTGTGTGTTTTGTTGTTTTTTGGTGGTTTTTTATTGGTTTTTTTTTTGGTTTTTTTTTTACCCTAGAGAAAGTGGGAGAAGGAAAAGGCCCTGGCCATGAGTCAGTGTGATCGCTCGCATCTCATTGCCTTGTTTGATTGCTCTGAGCAGACCGAAAGGCACCCAAACTACAGAGGATGATCCTTCCCGTCCAGCATTGCCCCTTCAGGCAGATATGCAGCCCCTGCATTTCCAAGCTGCCCTCCGTTCCCCCTCCCTCTCAGTTCTGCACCTGCAGTAAGCTGGGAAATGGTCAGTACTGACACCAGAGAACTTGTACTAGTCTGAAAATACTTGATCCAACCTGGTACAGTCTTCATGGGGGAGAGGATCACCCAAATGGTATAACTCAGACCTACAAATTGGTATGGGGTGGGCAGTACAGATCTACCCACCATTTACCCACTGGGCCTCCTCTTCTCCCTGCTTGAGGTCCCTGTGAGCATATCTGAGAATCTGTCCCACGGTCTTTATGTTCTTAAATGCACCCTAGCACATATGGAACACAGCTATGTAAAAATAAAATCCATTTCCTGCTCATAAGAATGTGCTCTGATACTCTATTTTTGCCTGAATTATGAAAAAAAAAAGGATGAGTGTATGTGACTATTGAAGACTTCACCAGGAGAAAGTAATGGTTTTCACCCAATTAAAAAGAGAGGAAGTGAGAATATCACATCTCTTGATATTCATAACAACAATAATAGCTTTCAGACATACGACATCATTCTGACCTGAAGGCCAGTTAATTGCAGAGACTTTCCCTTCGCACTAATCAAAGTCAGTGCAGAACCAATAGAATAAATGTACTGAAGTTAAACCCAGTCTACCTATATGCTTATATGGCAGCAGGAACAGAGAGTCCTGGTTTTGGGAGCCACGATTGCTGTGCTGTCTTACAGCAGTCCACATGCAGCAACTTAGGTGGCAAAGTTTCTAATTTGGCTTCCCTGATCCTTTAATTGCCTAAACATACAATCCCAATTTGTTTTAATATGTGAAGCTGCATTTCGCAGGTGCTGATGATGGGTGAGGGTCTATTTCTGTGGAAGCTTGGAGCAAAATTAAAAAAAATGATTTCAGTAGGTCCCAGGTTTTCATCCTGTGCTTAAAATATTCTTTGAGACATTTCGTTTTTGTGACAGAGCTTGTCTTCTAAAAAAATCTTGCTAGTACAATATTCACTGTGGGCCCCCAATGCAACATTTCTAGCAGGGGTCATTTAACCTGGCATTTATAGTTAAATTATGAGGAAGATAGCAATAATCACCCCATGTTCAGAAAACTCCCATGATGATTTGTCCATTTATCGTTAAGTGAAACCTGCGATGTACTGAACTGCACTTGCTATTATTTCTGAGGTTTGGTAGACATAAGGGGTAGTACAAAGCAGATACTGTACTTGGTGAATTAAAAGCAGATACTGTACTTAGTGAATTCTAGCTCTGCGTAGGAGGTATGAAAGGCAGAAGAAGATCAGGCTCAGTCAGCTTCACCCTAAAGGCTTAAGCTGGTCCAGTGAAGAACAAATTCAGGCACCTCCCAGGTGTGAACAAATGAATATCAGCAGAGGTTTGGGTTTTTTTAACGTGACAAGGAAATTAATCTCTTGTGCTCTGTGTCTGGGCTGGGGTAGGGTCAGGAAAACAGGGAGCGAATGAAAGAGATGAGCACTGCCTGAAGGAGGGCTGTTGGCTAAGGAAGAGTTGGACAGACAAGATACTGAGCACGAGTGATGCCAACATGAAGCAAGCAGTGACTGGATGGAAGCTAATGAACTGGAGAGACATAATCATTGGCAAGTCTGAACTTGAATATTTTTCTACTGCAGCTGCTCAGTCTGAAGACTCAGTAGATAAAGTATTAAATGCTACTGTAAATGACCCAAATTCTTCTCCTCCTCCTAAGGTTGAGCTATTTCTTCCTTCTCTTCTTCCAGAGAGCTCTTAAATCTTTCTTGATATAGGTTACTCAAGAGGCTTTCAGAGGGCAACATCCTCATTCAGATGAGCTAGTTTCCACATGTCCAGATTTCCTGGACTCTGGAGCTAATTTTAAGTTGCCAACCGTGTCAATGGCCACGCAAGAGAGGATGCTTCGCTCTGCCCCTCTCAGCAGTAACTCACCTGTACGCTGGAGTCCTGGACCAGGCAGAGCTGCTCCTGTATCTTCTGGAGCTCCTCCTGCTGCCATCGGATGTTGGCCTGCAGGATCCGGGTCCGCTGCTCTAGCTGATCCTTGATCGTCTGGAACATGCTGAACTGTGCCGAGAACTGAAAAAAAAAGGGGGAAAAAGTCAGTCATTGTAATACAAACAGGCCTCAATAGAACATTCTTCTGTAAGAAGTTATTGGTTTCTTGATTGTAAAGCACAACAGAAGGAATAAAAGACATGTTTGTAATACAGTAACACTGAAGCAGAGATAAATCTTGTCTGTTTTCAATTTTACACCCATAAATTGCTTCAGTTAGAGTGATCTGCTTACAACTGAACCTGTTCTGTTAGGGAATTATCAGAAGTGCTGTTTTTGAGAGTATGCTACTTTAAAATATCAAGAGTATCTTAACTGAATGGTAAATGAGTGCATTATTTTTATTAGCCTGTAGTTTGGAGCCCTCAGCGTGGCATAACTGTATATTCCAGACGTGTTTTACTAACGCTTTCCTTTTTTCCACACAGAAATAGCAGCGCTGCAATGGTTTATTCTACTGATGACTTGCTATAGCATCACGCAACAGCTGAGCACAATAAACCTTTTCTAGATTTCTCTGGCTGAGTAGTAGTCAAGCTACAAGGAATACTCATTATTTTTATACCTGACGTAAAATGAATAGGCCAGGTTAGTGGGAGAAAGGCTATTCTAAATAATAATATAAAATGGAGATCACTAATCAGGGTCAAGAAAAAGGTGCAGCCTCCAGTAGCAGCAATACCTGGCACAAAGTGGAGTCATTTAAGAATTGTGGAGGGGACTAACACAGCAATAAATTCCTAGTTTTATTTGGTCTTCTCGGGTATGATTCAAAGTCCACCAAAGTTAATTATTACTTTAATAGGCTTTGGAATAATTGCTTTGCATGAACTTGTATTCCAAAAGTAAAAAAACAGTTTTTGGAAAAAAACCCCACTTCAAAATATCTGTAAGCTTTTCTGTAATCAAGGCATCCAAGACCTTTCTGAAAACGTGTGGTGCTGTGAGTGTCCAGGCAAAAGGAAAATAATAATTTTGTCGTGAGTGGAAAATGGTTCCCTGTTCCTGTGGTTGTTGCAGTGGCTCTGAGCTGGTGGGGGAACCGATGCCCG